GTAGGTTGTATATAAAGCAGTTTCAGTTTAAAATTCGGGTAACTTGAAAAGGGAAGTGGGTGAAAGTGCAATTTATATCTTAAAAATCTTAAAGTACGTACACTTAAAATAAAGCACATTCAGCGAAAAAAAAACGCGGATTGTCCATAGAATCATGCTGGAAAACATTTACAAACTTTAATAAAATCTCCATATTGTGTTCACATTTACGCCATATTTTGTGCAGTGTTGCCAGACTGTACGGAATTGTTATAAGTAAAAGGAATTTTAGTATAAAGCACATACTACTCACTATTAATGTTGTAAGATTTAAACATGCGCTGAATTTGGGTCGGTGTAGGTTCATTGTGCATTTTTAATTCATATACAGGATGGACCAACGAAAAGGTCGTACCCCTATTTATGACTCTCCTGGTAGATCTAGAAAAAATGCGCGAACACGTCAACTTTGATTTTTAAGGGGACATCTCTAACCATCACTGCATTATACAAGGTGTTTTATAAACAAGATGCTGCGTCACACTTTTAATTTTCCAATAGAAACCTACTAGTTTTATGTAATTTTTCGACCCTGCCAGAAGTTTGGAGTAAATTTGGTATAGCATGTTCTATTCCAATCTTTTATTTTCGTTTGTTGTTAAATTATTTTTCGAAAGTATCGCAGTTTGCTGTTTCTATTGGTACCTCTGACAGATTAGCGAAAACAACGAGCCACCGTCAAGGGTCAGTGTGGGCTTAAACTGTTTTTCAACTTAATGTGCACATCTTCCCTTACAATAAAGTTTTCCATTCGCCAAAGAGTAAAAAAAAGAGAAATAATAATAATTAATTAAATTAGTTTGAAAATGTTGCAAAAGTTCTACCAGGGCTACCGCCCGTTTATTTAATCAGTTACATCCAGACAGAACTATTAACCATAAGTATGTGGAAAGATTAGTCAAGAAGTTTGAAGAATTTCATCCTTACAAAATAAAACTTGTACATGAACTTAATGAAAATGACTATGACAGAAGTTTGGAATTCTGCGTGCAAATGAGTCCACGGTTGCTCAACAGTAGACATTTGCTGTTTAATATTTGCTTCTCAGATGAATGCAAATTCTATTTACACGGCGTTGATAATAGACATAGTTGTCGTTATTGGAGTGACTCAAACCCTCATTTATTTAGAGAAGTCGATATCCGACATCTCCGCAAGTTAGCCGTTTGGGCAGGTATATTATCTCTTGCTTATGAAACACCCTGCATAATGCAGTGATGGTTAGCAGGACGTCCCCTTAAAAATCAAAGTGTTTGAGCGTTTTTTCTAAATCTACCAAGAGAGTCATAAATAAGGGTGCGACCTTTTTGTTGGCCCACATTGTATTTAATTTTTGAAGGAAACCGCGATAGAATTTTACAGAAAAGAAAATTTAATTCCAACTAAAATCAATCAGAAAATTTTAATTATTAAGGAATAATTGGGCATATGAAGGGAAGAAAATTCATTTTGAAGCCTCTAATTAAACACGATAACGCTCTGCATTTTGCCGTAGCGCATTGTCAAACCCGTCCCGAGGTGGCGGACCTAAAAATTTACACCACATGAATTGGTCGACATACCATTCAATATATGTTGACTGTAGGAAGCCCAAACGCCTGAAAAATATGTTTAACGCGGGACCAATAGGCCTCCACATAATTAGTATAAACACCGGTGTTGGGATCCACAAAATTTCTACTATGGTTGACCGCTTTATGTATGAATGGAGATACTCCTCCTAAGTTCGATACACCTTCATAACTGCGCCAGCAATCCGTCTAAATCTCACTTCCAGCTCGAACATGTGATATTATGGGTAATAGGCATTCAGCCGACCGATTGGGCACAAACATAATGTAGCCTCTCTGCAATGTACTACAAGGACCTGTAGTGTAATTGTCGTTTTTAGTCTACAGAAATACCACTGATCAAAAGAACGTTTATTTACTAATTCGGTAACTCACTACTGAACACTAATGGTTTGAATTTAGGTGAAATATTGCAGAAATTGTGTGCTTGGTAATGGGAAACACGTGGAGAACTCGAGCATCTTTTTTGGTTAGTTCCATGAATGAATTCTTCTAACTACCCTGAACTGTCCGGCTTCTTGCTGTCATCCTTTTCCACTTGTACCTCTATAATCAACTTTTCAATGTTTGAAGGCGACAGCTGATTTTCGCCAAGCGCTTTTGCCAAAACCCCACAGACCCATTTTTGAGGAATTCCCCTGCCGACATTGTATTTTCTCTTAGTCAAAACTGACTCGTCTATTTGTATAAGATGGCCTGGGCCACCTATAACAAGTTTCAATATATATACATACAAATCTGTTCAAGAAGCAAAAAGTAGAAAAAGTTATTGACTAATGTTATTCTTACCAAATACGAATAAGTCATCTTGCTGCAAAGGCTTCCAAGAACACACATCCCTAAAAAATCGGTAATGCTGGATTGCTGGTTTGCGATTAGTACCGGTTATCATTGATGAAACCCCCGACCGGGCTTCACAAACAAAATTCCACTACAAAATTAAAATATTGGTAACAGGAAAAGTGCAGTTTTCAAAAAGAAAAGCCCTTGAAGCTTACTTTTTGCTGTGTTGACTATTCCACCTTACCACTCTGGCAATAAAATGATTTACCGAATGGATATAACCATTTTTCGCGAAGAGGCAAACCCGACGACCGGATCTCACTGGACACCTTAATTCTTTTCTGATTAACCCACGATTTTGAAGCCATTGCAAAAAATTGTTCAGATCTGAGTTTACTATTGCCGTTAACTGTGAGACGTTGCTAGGGTTCATCTTTAAAAACTTAACAAACGTGAAGAAAAAAGCGGTGATAAAACTGTGACAGAATATGCAAGCGCAATTGGCCTTTTATACTTTTTGATCATTTCTAAGTAAAAATCAAGATAAAAAACCGCATAATTTGGTTCGATCGCAAATCGCTTTCATAAATAGAGCGATATGAATCCCAACCGGCTGCTCAGTACCAGGGCCTGCTCACTCTCAGCATTCCTGAGTTTTGGGTTACGCGTGCCCGCGAAATATGTTTATTTTATAGATAAACTATTTTTTAAAAACAATTTATTTAAAATAACTTTACAGACGTTCTATCATTGACAGAGTTTTGTGGAAAAAAGCGTTTACATAGTGAATTGTCTCAGTTTTATAGTTAATCAGGAATTTATGTACGGCGGAACCTAGTCAGCGGTTTCTGTGGGAACTGCTGCTTACTAGGCA